GCAGTGGAGATCTTTTTTAAATGTTGGAACCTCATTTAATTTTATGTCTTATAGAGTTTACAATGAGTAAAAGATTATATAAGCGTAATAATTCATCTGTAAACATAGAAATGTACAGCCAATTTTGAAAGAGATGTACCCTAGCTCAGAAAAATGTTATTGAATAGGTTAATGCTGTTGTAATGAAATGCTTCTTTTAATTTAAAAAAAAACATACATATAAAAGTTAAAAATTAAAATAAATAAAATATGTCTGCAAAAAAAAAATCAGGTGGAATTGGGTGACAAGTGTTAGGCATACATAATTAAAGTAAGATTGTAAGAGAAAATGCTAATAACATGATTAGCTATAAAAACTCTCATTTGGACTGGCTGTACCAGTAACAAATCCCTTTGAGCTTTTGTGTCTGACTTGTGAACTCTCTTAGTACGGTCCGTTTTTCACCTGATTTGGGAGTCATCATTCTCTTGAATTAAATTCCATGTCCCTTGCTGGAATGAATGTAGAAACAGTGGTTTGTCCTCTGCCTCACTGGAGATCTCATGGCTTGGATAAAGGCTAAACAAAAGGGGGTTCAGACTAGGATGCCTCAGTGCTCAGTAGTCGGGGCATCTAGTCCTTCCAAATAGATGCTTTGGTTTGGTTAAGACACTTCAACATTTACTGTGAGAATGAAAAAGTGGCTGAGAATACAAACCATGGTAATGTGGGGATGTCATGCAAAGATATAGACATTAAAGCAGATTACTTGTACTCCACGTGTACCTTTCAGTGATGACCAAAGTATGCCACACAAAGCCCAACAGGTTCCACTGCACTTCACATTTAGAGCCAGCAAAGGTCTGAGATGCAGAAGGAAATGACAGGTATGTCAGAAAAGCATCAGGTTAGCATTCTAGAAGCCTAGAGGCCAGCCCCCATGTCACCAGAAGACCTTGGACAAGTGAAGACTTCATCTTTACATCCTTATTTGTATAATGAATAAAGTAGTCATACATCTCCAACATGTGGGAGTAACCAAGGGAGATAAAAAAAAAAAATCTGTGAAAAATTTTTGGAAAACTGCAGGTTGCTGCACAGTCATTTGGTGGTGCCATGGTGGGGAAAGAAAAAACTAAAAAGCAAAGGCTGATGGGAACCTAAAAAATAGGAAGAGAAGCTATGGCGTTTACTAGATGTGAAAATAGGTTTGTGTTGTGAACACGTCTACCCAGGGGATAATGTTTTTTTAAATATTTCAATGAGCTTTTGTACATTTCATACAACAGTTCTTAATCAAATTTACACCTCCTTGCCCATCTAGCCCCCCGCTCCAAAACTAAAACTTGTGCTCTGCCATTAAACCCTATTCAGTCAAGCATTTGTATCTCTATCTAGAGATCTTAAGTAAGGTCTACTCTCCCACACCCAGCAGCACTCATTCTCCAACAGTTCCCAGACTAAGGCTGGCCTGCTGCCCATTTCCCCTGCTCCCTTCTGGGCCCTTGTCTGATTGAGTGGACATGGGTCCTGTACTTAATGCCACCATTGCCACAAGTTCACATGAGCAAGCTTCCAATGACCTGAAAGCTTCTGCTTCCCTGTGTTCATGAACCAGCCCTGGCTCTTACAACCTTTCTGCCCACTCTTCAGCAATGGTCCCTGAGGTATAGGTGGGTGGGGTTTAATTTAGGAGTCCTATCCAAGGACACACACCGTGCAGTCTCTTATTCTCTAAATATTAGCCAGCTGTGGCCTTCTATGTGCATCACGCTCTGTTGTATAAGGAATCTTCTTCACTGGTGAGAGTAGAGGGATGCACTAGTACTCTCCCCAACCCCCTGTTCCTCTACTCCATGAGTCTTAGGTGTAGAGTTTCCACTGTAGATATGTCACCTAGGGCTGGGCATCTCTCAGATGTATAGTCTCTGTGTGTGAACAGTTCTGGAACTCTGCAGTAGCCTCCATAGGATAATATTTAACTTGATTCAGTGAAGGTTACAGCAGAAATGAAGAGTTGGAGTCTATTTAAATGAATGATTTAAGAAATTATTTTAGGGGCCAGGAAGGTGGCTCAGCAGATAAAAATGCTTGTTGGGAAAGCCTGATGACCCGGATTAAATCCCCAGAACCCATGGTAGAAGGAGGGAACCAACTCTGACCTCCACAAGCACATTCTCTAACACACACACACACACACACACACACACACACACACCATATAATAATAATAAGTTTAAAAGAAATTATTTTAAACTTACTAATTTGAAAAATTATGGATATACTTGTCAAGTAAACTAACACAGCAATAGCACATGGGTATTCAATATATAAAAAAATTTAGTTGTTCTGGGTCTGTTTTGAATTGTAAAGATATTAAGTCTTCACAAGTAAGAGCATGAACTTGAGGTAATTTATTTGTGGCCACTAATGACCTCCTCAGGGGGAAAAGTTTCACTTCAGTCCAGCATTTAGTCATTTTGGTATAGTCTGCTCAAAATTTTGTTTACTGCCCTATCCATGGTGATAGTTTCTCAGTGTTACATTGGTCTACAACACATGCCTTGTTCAGAAAAATAATGATATATGTGGATAGTGTTCGGCTCAACTCAGGCCCTGTGGAGGCTACTGACACTCCTTTAAGATACCTCAGGCCATCTTGGTAATGAAGGTAGGTAATGCAGGGGCATTAATCTGGGATTAGTAGAAACCTGTATGTGAAGGAGCCAGTGATCTCTTACAAAAATCTGACACATGTGCATTCCAGCAGCAAGTCAACAACTTTCGTTAGACTTTTTAAAGAGTTAAGCACCAGTTACCAGAGGGGACTGAGGGAGCCACATATAGTTTAATTATATCCAAAGCACTTTCTAACAGGAAATATGCTTCTTGTCATAGGTATTGAAGTTTGAGCCAGGCCATTTCAAGAGAAGGGTCAGAGCTAAGAAGATGGCTCTTGTTGATATCCAGTTGGATCACCACGACCGGTGCGATTGTATCTGCAGCTCAAGACCACCTCGATAAAACAATGTGCACGTACTTAAATTAAGCACGAAGGAACCTTTAGTTTAAGGAAGATGTGCTAAGGGACACTTGTCCCTCAGCAGCCAAACTTGCTTCTAGTCTGCAATGTAATGAATAAAGGTGAAACCTCGCTTTATTAGTGCCATGGCAAGCCAAAGGATGTAGCATCAACTTCTATAGCCATGAATATAAGAATGCATTTTAATAGCAGTATACAAGGATGTGTATACGTACCCAGGTACATGTCTGTTGCCGTGTGTGTGTGTGTGTGTGTGTGTGTGTGTGTGTGTGTGAGTGTAAATAGATCAACTGTTCAGTATTTTTAACCAGGTCTGCCAGAGATAACAAATGATTACATTATTAGACTCTTGATACTTTGCCAAAATACAAAATGTGTCAAATACCTGAAACATTTCCTTATGGCATTCAGAAGATAAATTTCTTTTTTAAGCTTTTATCACAAAACATTTTAGGTCTTGCTGTCGTACAGAAAGCATTTTGTTCATTAAAAACAAAAGATGAGACTTTATTATGCATATACCTTAATTATAAGAAGGAAAAAACATATAGTAAATACTTTAAATATCCCCACGAAACGCAGTGCACACAAATGTGGACCGAAATTACCTGTCTCAGAAACTATACCAAACTAACATTGGAGGGTTAGAAGTCAAAGCACTAAGTTCCCTTTTTAATGTATATTTATATTGAATTTTTGTGCATTTTAGCCAAAAACATCCTAATCATCTTTATACCACCTCCCCAGTTCACGCATTATGTCATATATGTTAAGGCCTACTGTCCTGGTTTGTTTCTTCATTGCTGTGACAAAACACTCTGACCAGTACCAACTTGGGGAGGAAAGGGTTTATTTCTCTTACATCTCCCAGGTCGCAGTTCATCAGGGAGCCCAAGGTAGGAACTCAGGACAGGAACCTGGAGGCAGGAGCTGGAGCACAGGCCATGGAGGAACACTGCTTACTGGCTTGCTCCCCTGGCCCCTGCTCAGCCTGCTTTCTTATGCAACACAGGCCCACCTGCCCAGGGGTGGCACCACCCACAGTGGGCTGGGCCCTCCCACATTACTCATCAAGAAGAGGCCCTTCAGACATGGCCACAGGCCATTCCAATAGAGGCAATTTCCCGATTGAGGCTCCCTCAACCCAGGTGTGTCAACTTGACACTAAAGCTATCCAGCACACCTACTGAGTCAAGTTAGTGTACCCAGATGTCCCTCAGTGCAAGTTCATCCAGCCTATTGCCAAGGCAACCTAATTCATTTAATGCCCATCTCAATAAATTGCTCAGGGGGGTTACTGTAGGGATGTTTTAAGAGACAACATTTAAATTACAGCAGAATTTTGGATTTTTTTTCCTCCTAAAATCACCTATAGAAAAACAAATATATTCAGGAATAGCATGGAAATCATGTCTCAGCCTTTCAAAACAGTATTCATGGGAAGATTTGAACAATAGAAAGGTAAAAATTAATCATTAAAATATTGACATAACTGGAAGTTAGATAGACTACTTAGTAAGGTCCACATTTAAAAATGGGTCTGGACTCTTAAAACTGTGCCAATAGTTTTCTGTTCTGTTTTTGTATTCCTATCTTTTCAATATATGCCCATGAACTTATAAAATCTTGATATTAGCCGGGCATGGTGGCGCAAGCCTGTCGTCCCAGCACTTGGGAGGCAGAGGCAGGTGGATCTCTGTGAGTTCAAGGCCAGCCTGGCCTACATAGTGAGTTCCAGGATAGCTGGGGCTACAGGGAGACCCTGTCTCAAAAAGACAAAAAAAAATGATATCAAGCAAGCCATAATGGAATATTTATAGCCTAAAAGCATTATATATTAATAAAACAACCACATTTTACCAATCCTGTACTCAAGATTCCAAATGCCTGTTTCTAAATGGGCTGAAATTAATCTGGGGTCCCTTAGCCTTTTCAGGTCTGTGGTGCTTATCCTGTAGAGCCAGTTGTAAATTGAAGTAGAGTAAGTTTGGTCCTGCTTTCCCACTGGAAAACTATTTTGCAGTGGTTATTGGTAGGGAGAGTCCATTTTCCTCTATGGCTCCTTGGTGTTTATTTTAAAGAGACGGACTCCAGAAGTAGGAAGTCATTCATTGCAAAGCACGAAGCTGAAGAAGGGACTCTGAGACCCAGTCAGCTCAGGGACTTCTCCCAGGGTACTACATTTTTCTTCCTGCCTTGAGTAGAAAGGAAAACTGATTCAAAATGTGAGTCCAGGACCTTCTGGACCACAGGCAGTTTGATACAGGATATGCGCCCAGGGTGGCTTAGTCCTGTGTCAGTTGAGTGGCCTAAATGCACTTGGATTGCTAAGTGTGATGCGCTCTGATCCACAGCATCAGCTATGCTATAAAGCTTATTGCTTTGTAGTTCTTTGAGGTGAGAGACCTTTGCTTATTGGCACACGCCTTCTAAAATTTCTTTTAAGTATTTAATGTTATAACTCAGGGACCGACTGGTAAAATTACTCTATTGTTCAGTTGTTGGTCAGCATCCCAGAGAACAACCAGAAATAGCCCAGACCCACAATCAGGAACCACTCCTTCCCCTCCCAGCCACTTCAACTTTCCTGTGATGCATCAGTTTCCTGTATCCAAACCAAACTGTGTCACTCACAGCAACTGGCACACCTCACACCACAGCTATGAATATAAAACGTCAGAGTGCTCTACTCAATTTTCAACAAACCTTCCAGGCTGGAATAACCAAGATGGCATTCAGTTAAGGCCTTATCTGTGCCCTCTATTTATTAGCTGAAATGTACATGGACATACTCACATTGCTTTTTCTTTCTTATTTTATTAAAAGTTCTCTATGTTATCCGTTATCTATCATGCTCCCACCATGTAGCCAATAAATCTTTTTCATTGCCATCAAAGGAATTAAAAATAAAACTGTATAAATTACATTTCCAAAGAGACTAATAAATCTACAGTTGTGCATAGCTCAGTCACCTGAAATGATGCCTTTCACTTGATACGTTCTTATAGGGCAGAACATTTTCATGAAGTCAAGGGTTTTAGGTTTGTGTTGTGTTTTTCTTCTTTGTTATTTCAGTAACATGCAGCTTTGTCCTCTCAGACCATTTTCTATAGCAAATGTAATATGCCTCTTATCTTCATAAAAAATAAATATTGGGTTTGAACAAAACTCCATTATTTAGCACTGAATTGCAATTTTAAGAGGTATACAGTATTATAAAGTACTTCCACAAAAGCACCTGTTTGGAATGACAAGGTTGGGTGGTTTATGAGAGCTTTTCTTCATAACAGCTGAAAGAGTGAACCCCTGCTCCATCCACAGGCTTCTGCTCTCCTTGCCCGGCAGTCATGTGCTGAGGTAGACTTCCCTTTCTTGATGTTCTTGGCTTCTTCATCTGTCTCTTTCCCCACATAATTTTGATGAATTTTCCTATGACCGTTCCCACATAAGAGAGATTCCCAAGCTCTCTCTTCCTTGGGGCCTGAAATTAACATCACAGCCTCAATATTTTCCCACCCTACCCCATGCCTTCTGGCTGGATGTCTCAGCTACTATGTCAGTGATGCCAGTTCAGAGAAAGAAGTTATGATCTTCTACCTGTCCACACCCATCCAGAATTTGGTTAAAGAGCACAGACCATAAAAAGAGGTCTCTAAAGAGGTCTCTAGTGCTGGGCGTGGTGGCGTACGCCTTTAATCCCAGCACTGGGGAGGCAGAGACAGGTGGATCCTCTGTGAGTTCGAGGCCAGCATGGTCTACAGAGTGAGTTCCAGGCAGCTGGAGCTACAGGGAGACCCTGTCTCAAAAAGACCAAAAAAGAAAAAGAAAA